AGGTGACAACAGTCACACCTGAACTAAACAGCCCACCACAGGTGACAACAGCCACACCTGCACCCAGCATCCCACCACAGGTGAGAACAGCCACCCCTGAACTAAACAGCCCAACACAGGTGACATCAGTCACACCTGCACCCAGCAGCCCACCACAGGTGACATCAGCCACACCTGAACTCAGCAGCCCAGCACAGGTGACAACAGTCACACCTGAACTCAGCATCCCACCACAGGTGAGAACAGCCACACCTGAACTCAACAGCCCACCACAGGTGACAACAGCCACACCTGAACTCAACAGCTCACCACAGGTGACAACAGTCACACCTGAACTCAGCATCCCACCACAGGTGAGAACAGCCACCCCTGAACTAAACAGCCCACCACAGGTGACATCAGCCACACCTGAACTAAACAGCTCAACACAGGTGACATCAGTCACACCTGAACTAAACAGCTCAACACAGGTGACAACAGTCACACCTGAACTAAACAGCTCAACACAGGTGACAACAGTCACACCTGAACTAAACAGCTCAACACAGGTGACATCAGTCACACCTGAACTAAACAGCTCAACACAGGTGACAACAGTCACACCTGCACCCAGCATCCCACCACAGGTGACATCAGCCACACCTGAACTCAGCAGCCCGCCATGGCCTGTAATGACAGAGGTCACCAGGACTGAATTCCCAATACCTGCTGGAAGATCTTTGACAGACATCACTTCAAGCCCAAAGGAAGACTCTCACCCAGGAGCCCTCCCCACCCATCCACACAAGTCATTTCAGAGAGCGTCCAATCAGGTAAGTCTGGAAAATGGAAGCTAACTGGGTAGCTTCACGACACTGAGAAGACAGGTCTGGGGATGTAGCTCAGTGGTAAAACACTGGCCTAGCATGTGCACAACCCCGACCCCGGGTTCAAGCTTCGCTATTGAAAAGTTAGTCATAAAAAGAGCACGTATGTCCTTCTATCATGATGTATCCACGGTTCTGATTTTTAAAAGCAGGAGAACTGTACACTGAAAGCAAAAGTGTTCAGAGTCCAAGTCTCTCCCAGCAGGTTGTGTGCCCTTTGCAGTACTTGATGGCTCATATTTATTTAGGACTCATAAATTCACCATTGGGAGGTGAAGGACCTCTGCTAGCCTGCCCCACTGTACCAGAGGTGCTAGAGAAAAAGTAAAGCCACCGGGACAAGGTCCTGAGAAGAATCCCACCCCCAAATCCTACTTTTAAGTGCATCCTGGCACTTTCCCATAAAAACACCCCATTTGCTCTGCTTCCTGAGGTAACGAGGTTCACTATTGTCTCCGAATTGTCTTCCACTAGGGAAGAATCAGCCTGCAGTAGCTTAAACCAAGGATGGGGGTTGGTTTCTTTCCTTAAATAAAAAAAAAAGAAGAAGCCAGAAATGTAGAATGAATATCCATAAGTGTTTATATATAGAACTGTTAAGAGAATTTAGTGATGTTGCCCAACTCAACAAAGTGTGTGACAATGAGAAAATTAAAAACAGGCAAGTGATGCAGCAGACACCTTTAATCCCAGTACTCAGGAGACTAAGGCAGGGGGAATGCAAATGTAAGGCCTGCCTGGGCTACATAAATATTAAGATGAGCCATCATGTGGTCCAGGTTACACTTTGGGTTCTAAAATACCAGATGAGGTATGTGTATCCACAGATAGCTAGGGCAGCATCCAGAAAGCCCAGCCTCCACGGGGTCATGGGGTAGCAGCTACAGCTCAGCTATATCTTCATCCTTTCTTATTTGCACCTCAGTTCATCAAAGCCAGGGTGATCTCAGTCCAGGGTGCCTCTATAAGGGACCTCTCCCACAAAGTCAGAAATCACCTATTGGACCATGTGACCCATGAGGATGGTGCTCTGGCTAGTCTTATGTCAACTTGATACTAGCTAGAGTTTTCTGAAAGGAGGGAACCTTATTTGAGAAAATGCCTCCGCAGGATCCAGCTGTAAGCATTTCCTCAATAAGTGATCAATGAGAGATGGCCCAGCCCATTGTGGGTGGTGCCACCCCTGGGCTGGTGGTCCTGGGTTCTCTAAGGAAGCAGGTTAAGCACACCATGGAGAGCAAGCCAGTAAGCAGCATCCCTCCATGGCCTCTGCATCTGCTCCTGCCTCCAGGTTCCTGCCCTGCTTGAGTTCCTGTCCTGGCTTCCTTCAATGATGGACTAAAAACTGCTCCTCCCCAAGTTGCTTTTAGTCACGGTGCTTCATCACAGCAACAGAATCCCTCACTAAGGCCGATGGGATCATGACCCACTGACTACTCTGTTCCCATCTGACACAGCATCTACAGAGTGCAGTAGGGCCTTGGCAAATGTCTCTTGAAGTGTGAGATATGCGGGGATGTACTCCAGAAATCAAATAAGTAGTTGGGTTTACATAGCAGCCAGTAAAGACTGGACTTCAAGTAGAGAAGCCTCACAAGATTGGGCCTTGTTCTGTTTACTCAGTTTGTCCTGGGAAGTATTCAGCACCCCACGTCCTGCTACACAGTACTTTGAGTTTTTTTTCCTTTTAAACATGAACTCTTTTCCCCAGTGTTGAGGCTTGAACTTGGGACCTTGTACTTGCTAGGTAAGCTCTCTGTGAACTCATTCCTAGAATCTTACCAGCAACCTCATCTGCTTTCAGATTATTCATTCCACAAAATTCTTACCCATCTTCACACATGTATGAAGGAGGTGAAAATCAATTTCACTCACTGGCAGGAATTCTTCCTAAAGTAACAGCCCTTTTGGAGCCTGTGGTTCATGAAACTTAAAATGTCATCCTTGGCCAGTATCCATTGACATGGTATACCAAACTCCAAATGCATGATAATAATTATGTATAAATAATTTTGACAAGATATTTTTTTAACTTTTTTATTACATCCATTTATTTATTTATATATGTGGGAGTGTGGGTGTGTACATGCCATGTTACTTATGCAGAGCTCAGAGGACAACTTGTAGAAATCAGTTCTGTCTCTTTGCCCTGTGGGTTCCGGGGACCCAACTGGGATCATTCAGTCTTAGCAGTAAGTGCTTTTATCCACTGAGCCATCTCTCCAGCCTGACAAAAGATCTTCTCTTCCCAACAGGTCACAGATGAGACAGCAGGGAAACTGATCCCAGCAACGGCTGCTTTTCAAGCTCGCAGTGAATTCCAGAAAGCTTGTGCCATTCTCCAGAGACTGCGAGACTCCCCTCCAACATCTTGCACACTGGCTCAGGTAAGGAGAAAGGTGGAGGTATTTCGGCAGCAGTGAGAAAAGGAAAAAAATGTAAGTAGGGGCTGTGCCCTCAGCAGAACTGGGAATCATAAAAGAACTTGATGGAAACAGAGCTGAGTACCAGCAAATAGTACTGCATCTTTAAACATGAAGTGAGTGTGTTGATGGGCAGTGGTAATCTCAGAGTCACAGTTTGTGTTCATTGGTGCGTTGACCAGGTTACCTCATCTGATACGGTCGTTAGGAGAAATTATGAGACAAAAGTAGATTCGGAACTTGCTGTGGATACGATGGGACGGTTTTGAGACCAGAGTTGAAACAACAATGCTCCTGACCTCGGAGCTTTCTGCACCCAGGCTTGCTGACATCATTTCCCCATAATTGGCCAGGCTGCTTCTTATGTAATGGAAGGTGGTAGCATAAGAAATTCAATGTTTTTTTTTTCTATTTTTTTGAAAATGTATTTATTTATTATTTATACAGTATTCTTCATGCACATATGCCTACAGGCCAGAAGAGGACACCAGATCTCATTATAGATGGTTGTGAGCCACCATGTGGTTACTGAGAATTGAACTCAGGACCTCTGGAAGAACACCCAGTGCTCTTAACCTCTGAGCCATCTCTCCAGCCCCCCCCCTTTATTTATTTTTTAACATTTGTAAATATACTTCAATAAGCATGTCTCTGAGTTTTTGCTGCTTTGGTTGGTTGATTTGGCTCTTTGTTGGGAGGAGCGGTTGTTTGTTTTTGCATTTTCTATTCTGAGACAGGGTCTCGTGTATCCCAGGCTTGTCTCAAACTTGATATGCAGCCTACGATAACCTTAAACTCTTAATCCTCCTTCCTCTACTACCGCAGTTCCAAGGTAACAGATATGCACCAACACACCCAGTTTATGTGGTGCTGGGACTCAAGCCCAGGGCCTCATGCATGCTAAAAATAACTCTACCAAGTGCGCCAAATTTCCATGCTGCCTGGGTTTTTCAATTACAGACATAACACATTTTTAGGAAGAAATCGAAGCAGGGCAGGTACAATAATGAGAAAACACCCTCCACACACACACACACACACATACTCCTTTGTCCCTACAAAACCCATCAGATAGATGGGATCATTGTTCCCTTTACCTTTGACCGGCTGTGAATAACTATGTACATACATATATACATACATACTGAGTTAGTGGTATTTTCCTTTAACCCCAGCACTATGAAGGCAGAAGCTAGTGAATCTCTGTGAGTAAATACACCATCCTGGTGTACATAGTAAGTTTTAGGACAGGCAGGACTCTTACACAGAGAGAACGTGTCTCAAAAAACCAAATAAATAAATAAATAAAATATACAGATATTTTTATGCCTTTGACCCTTATTGTTTGTTTATTTGTTTGTTTTTGCTTTTTTTTTTCAAGACAGAGTGTCTCTGTATAGCCCTGGCTGTCCTGGACTCACCCTGTAGACCAATCTGGCCTTGAACTCACAGAGATCCCCCTGCCTCTACCTCCCTGGGATTAAAGGCATATACCATCACCGCCCGCTTCTTTTAACTCAACACATTGCCACAGGTATTTTTCCCCATCTGTCTGCATAGATTAACCAACTAGTGTTCATCTGAATTTTTTTGTTCATTCATGAAAACAGCCTACCTATGTGCAACCTTGTAAGTACATTGAATACTTACGCAAATACTTCTGAGTGTTACAGCAGCACGTAGACATGATGACGGTATGAAACAGGTATGAAACATACATGAAACAGGTATGGCCAAATTGTTCTCCTAAAAGATACTGTTTTCATTTCCACTGCGGCCCCGAGTTCTCATTTTTTGGCAATTTTAAAAGCAAGAAAGGAAAGAGAAGGTGTCTCAGTTAGGGTTTCTATTGCTGTGATCAAACACCGTAACCACAAGCAACTTGAGGAGGAAAGGTTTGTTTGTCATATGGGTTACAGTCCATCATCAGGAACCTGGAGGAGAAACGGAGGCAGAGGCCATGCAGGAATGTAGCTCACTGCTTACTCGCCATGGCTCTATAGATTTGCCAATCGTTGATGGTGTTTTCTCAACTGAGAGTCCTTCTTCTCAGTGACCCTAGCTTGTGTCGAGTTTACGATAAACAAACAATGTGCTGATTTCTAAGGAAGCCAAGCTTCCCTTCATGAGCTTGTATATTTGAAGCTGTCTATGACTTGGCTTCTGTTGGCCCTTATACTTGGTCCTGAACCTGAGGATGTGTTCCGCCATCGAGACATATCTGCCGCCCTATCCCCCTTAGGTTCTCTGAATTGCTTTGTGCCTTCATTCTGACTTCTGTTTGACTGGTCTTATTTGTTAGAGGCCATTATTATTATTACTACTATTTGTTATTGTTGTTGTTGTTGTTTTGGGGTTTTTTGAGTCAGGGTTTCTCTGTGTAGTCTTGGCTGTCCTGGACACACTTTGTAGACCAGGCTGGCCTTGAACTCACAGCAATCCATGTGCCTTTGCCTCTCTGAGTGTTGGAACTAAAGGTGTGCACCACCACACCCACCTGAGACCTTTATTAGGCTGTTAACCATACTTCAAATTTTGTGCCAGTACCTTATTTTTAAACTTCTGTCTATGTTTGTTTGTTTGTTTGTTTGAGACAGGGTTTCTCTGTGTAACCCTGGCAGTCCTGGAACTCACTCTGTGGACCAGGCTGGCCTTGAAGTCATAGAGATTCACCTGCCTCTGCCTCCTAAATGCTGGGATTAAAAGCAAGTGTCACCACTGTCTGGCTGATATATTGATTTTTACAAACGCTTTTAATAAATATAACTTTGAAAGGAAGTAACATTTCAAAATAAAAATAGTAGTACCTAAAGTAGATGTCCAGTAAGCATTAAAATTGCCTCACATTTCTTTTTGTGTAGCTAGTTGATTGGTTGGATGGTTTGAGACAGGGCCTTACTGTGCAGCCCAAGTTAGTTTTGAACTTACTTGCCATCCCCCTGTCTCTGCCTCCTAGGTCCAGGGATCACAGGTGTGCACCACTGCACCTGGCTGCTTAGCCTTTTTCACTCCATTTGTTTTATATGAGAATGGCCCGCACAAAAGAGAACTGATGTTTTCTCTTGTTTTTAGAACTTATCTTCCTGTCAGGTAGTGGTGGCCCACACCTTTAGTCCCAGTATTCAAGGAAGCAGAGGCAGGTGGTTCTCTGAGACTGAGGCCAGCCTGGTCTACAGAAAAGAAAAGAAAAAAATCTCCCTGGTCTCTGTTTTCCAGTTATCTTGAAGATTTTGATGCCACCACCCATGCCTTCCAAAAGAGCCCACCACTGAGCATTTGGCCTGGATTGCTCTTTTCCCAAGCATCCCTCTTTTAGTTTGATTTTGTTCACTTAAACAGCTTGTCTACTTAGCACTCGGTGTACCTTAGAACAACATGAAACACGGTCCTCTCCCGTAGCTGGCAAGGAATCCTGTATTTTTCTTGCCTGCCAAATGGTGGTGTTTTGTTTTGTTTTGTTTTGTTTTTAATACATTTGAACCGTGTAATAGAGATTGAACTTCGGGGCTGGGAAAGTAACTCAGTTGCTGAAGTACCCGGGCACAAACACACATCTGAAGCACCCTTGTAAAAGCCAGTGCTTGCGTTGAACACACATACCTACGTAGACAGAGGAAGGGAGGGAGGGAGGAAAGAAGGGAGGGAGAAAAAGAGAGAGAATATTGAGCCGCTTATAAGAAGGCACAAATAACTTTAAAACAGTCACACGTAGCTACATGTGTTTCCTTTCTGGCATCCCTAGATCAGTGTGGCCAATTCACTCATGGACCTGAGTGAGCAGTTGCTGATGCTCCTATTTCAGAAAAATGACAGCTGGAGCCTCAAAACTCCGGCGGTTAGCTGCCTCTTTCAGTCTCTTGGAAATTTGATAACAATCCAGAAAAAAAGCCAGCAGATGGTTTGGCAAGACAATGAGCAGGTGGGTGTGTTCTCTGCAGGTGGCCAGCTCTGCCCGGAACTCTCACCCCAACATCAAGTCACACAGCCCCTCCCCAGTCTTCAAAGGTCTCTCTCCACCCACCGGTGGGCAGAGGCTAATCAAGTGAAAGGGACTCAGTGAAGCCTATCACAAACCCTCAGGGAGATACTCAACACCCTCAGCTTTTAGGAAAGTGCAAATTAAAAAATAAGAGGCTGGATAGGGTGGTGCACGCCTGCCACCCAGTACCTGGGACGCTAAATCTCCATCTAAATGCAGGTTGAAGACGTGCTGGAGACGTCGTTGATGGCCTTGGGGGAGATCCACAAAGCATTTTGCCAACAGAGCCTGTGTCCTGAGCCAGCAGTGACCTTGACCTCTTCCACTGCTACCCTGATGTTGAGCAGGTAAACCGGCTGGAGGAATGGGGAAGTTTCATTTCGATTTTGACTTCTAGAGATTGATTTGCATTTAAATTTTTTTTTCAGTCAAAATGTGTCATCTTTGCCTCTGAGCACCTACACTCTGGGGGAGCCTGCACCCTTGAGGTTAGGCTTCCCGTCGGCACAAGCGCTGAAGGAGCTCTTGAATAAACATCCAGGAGTGAACCTTCAAGTGAGTACGAACCGAACCGGACTGAGATGGGAACGAAATGGTCTGTGATGGCTATGTGGGGAGGTAGGGGCGGAGAGTGCACACCTCCTGGGCTAGAAAGATTTGTTTTGCAAGTCTCAAAAAAAAAAAAAAAAAAAAAAAAAAAAAATCAGGAGGGAGCTTGAGAGTGAGTTTCTGTGTCATGATTTGAATTGATCTCAACTTACCTACTAAAAAATTGGGATTATCTGAAGCATAACTAATTCAGTGTAACACACACACACACACACACACAGTATTGGGGTGCAGAATATTTGTTCCCTAGTATAAAAGAACAAATGTATCCGAACGATTTGGAGGGTCCGAAATGCAGCGCTCTCATTGTCTCTCATCAGGGTTAGGATGCTTAGCTCCTTCACTTGCCACATTGTGGGGGAATCCCAGCATTTAGTTTATGGCTGCTACCTTGTAATCTGTTGTGGGACTGGGACTGGTTTATGAACAACTTGGCAGCTGGAGAAACTGGAATTTGCTTCCTCTGCAGGTAACAGGTCTGGCTTTCAACCCTTTTGAGGCTTTGGATGACAGGAACATTGTTGGAAGTATTGGAAATGTGCTACTGAGTGATTCTAACCAATCGATCCGAGTCCACAATTTAATAGAAAATATTGAGGTACAAGTATCTTGATGGAAACAGGACATGCTGGGAAAGAGGAAACAACTCAGCATTTTACATTCATGTCAGAGCTAAGTACCTGGCACATGCCTTTAATCCCAGCACGTGGGAGACAGGCAAGAAATCTCTGTGGGTTCAAGGCCATCTAGGATACATAGTGAGTTCTCTGTGGCAGAAAGGCTACCCAGTAAAAAGCCTGTCTTTTAAAGTATTTTATTACAAAGTATTTTATTACACATCTTCGAAACCCTCACAAAGAGGTAGACCTAATCAGTCCGAGGACAAGTCTCAAAGACTACTAATCGCTGGCTTTGTGCTGTCCACTAAGACCCAACAGAGAAGCCTTAGGAAGTTTGTTACCTCATCACTACCAGGAAAACAGAAAGGCTCATCTTAAGCTGGAGTGTTAACGCTCTCTCTTTCTAGATCATGCTCTGGAGAAACGCCAGCATGGAGACCCAGCCCACCACCCTCAACGCAAGCACAGACTATTTCACAGTCACCGTGAATGTCACTTCCTTGGAGAAAACCCTCATTGTGACCATCGAGCCTGAAAGTCCCCTTCTAATGATACTCTACCTGGGCTTCCAGGACCAGCCTGACCACATTGACTTCTACCTCAACATCAGCTTTCCAAGGAGTCAGGTGTGGCAGAAAGGTATTGGCCATCAGATGTCTGAAACTTAATTGGTGATACGTTTTTCTTATTTTTAACTTGGGAGTGTGAGGTAATTGTAGGTTCACAATTGTAGCTGTGAGAGGAAACAGCACACTTGCTTTCTAACCAGCCCTCCTAATGGCCGAGCCACAGGGGATGACCTTGACACAATGGCCTATCAGTAGATTGTCCCAGAATTCCATACATTCATCTCTCTGCATATGTGCACTTTGTCTTATGTAATTAAAGATAGGTTATGTGATGCATGGAGAAATAATTATGTAATATATATACACATATACATGTAGAGAGAGATATCATATATATGGTAAAGCAAATTTTATAAAATGCTAATTGTAGAGCCTGGTGATAACATGAATATATGCTATGAAACTTAAGTTTCAGTGTAGTTGAAAATATCTATAAGCACATTAAGGACTGGGGTGTAGCTCTGTGGTAGAACATACGTTTAGTATGACAAGGCCTGAGTTCAATCCTTAGGATGAAAAAAAAAGTTGAAGAAATAAAATTCTAGTACCATGGGCCATACCATGCAAGCTCAATAAGATAAAGATGAATGCATATGACATACACATCCCAATTTTATTTTTAATCTTAGATCTGGGTAAGGGTCAGAGATCAAGTAAGTCTTGATATGAGACAAAATGACATTCCTAGAGAAGTAAGGGATCTTTGAAAGCAGAGCTAAGGGTGTAGCTCAGTTGGTAGAGAGCACACACAAAACCCTAGGTTCCATCCTAAGCACTGCTGTTTTAGTTTTGGTTTTTCTAAAGAATTTTTTCGATAATATCAATAGTTAAAGTTTTCTGAGCAGCTGAGTATAGTTGCCATAATCCTAGCATGTGGGAGGTGAAGGCAGAAGAATCGAGGGTCAGAAGCTATCCTTGGCTATATAAGGAAGCTGGAGGCCAACCTGACCTACACAAAATAAAATTCTGAAAGGTTATAGATATGGCTCCATGAATAAAATACCTGCCTGCTCAAGTATGAGGTCCTGATCTTGGATTCCCAGAATCCATGTAAAAGCTTAATATGTATGTCCTTATCTCGTGGGGAACAGTGGTAGGCTCCTAATACTTACTGACCAGCCAGCCTAACTGAATTGATGGGTCCTAGTTCAGCATGAGACCCTAAAGTGAAGAGCAATCAAGGAAGACACCGAAAGTCAATTTCTGGCCCCATACACAAGGACACACACACATGAGCATACATATGAATAAGTATGTACTATGCACACACACACACACACACACAAATTTGAGTTACATTAGTGATGCCTAGATTTGCTTGATCCACCTCTATGCTCTATGGATATAACTTTGAAATGTATTGGAAAGTCTCAAAATCTTTTAGAGTTGGAAGAACCATTGAGGTCATTACCTGCTGTAAAGATGAGGAAACTGAGGCCAGGGAGATGAGGTGACTTGCCCTGACTATTGATGGCCACCAGGACAGAACCAGGCCTGACACACAGTCTCATGGGAAATCCAGTTTCCTGCCAACACTGTGTTTGCATCCTTCCTTTCTCCTTGAGTGTGTCACCAAAATCCTCAGTCTATCACCTAAGATGGGTGATGATGTTTGTCTTTTCATGCCTGCATGTGTAATGGGGGGAGGGGTTGTGGAGGAGTCAGGGGATTCTGATACTGATGTTGAACATCTTCATCAATCACTTGTTTTCCTTATTCTCAAAGCGAGATGTCTTAATTAAAACCAGAGCTTGCCAAGATGTTTAGTCACAGTAGCCAGCTTCCCTAGGGATCCCCCTACCTCCCAAGGCTGGGATTATAGCCACCCAACATTTGTGTGGGTTCTGGGCATCTGAACTCTGATCCTCCTGTTTGCATGGCAAGAACTTCACTATAACTGCTAAGCTAGCTCTTAGCCTTTTTTTTTTTTTTTTCTTAAGTTAGTGTCTCATAGCCCAGGCTGGCTTCAAACTCACTACATAGCCAAGAGTGAGACTGAACTTCTGATATACCTATCTCCATCTCGCAAGTGCTAGTATTATAGATTTGTACCATCATGATGGGTTTGTTGGTGCTGGGGATCAAGCCCAGGATTTCATATACACTAGGCAAACATTCTCATCACTGAGCTACACCCCCCGCATGTCTTACCCACTGTTAGATCACTGTGAATGACCACAGCAGCTCTTATAAAAGGAAAGTGTTTAATCGGGGCTTGCTTACAGTTTCAGAGGTTCATTATCATCATGGCAGGAAGCATCGAAGTACGCAGGCAGACATGGTGCTGGAGAAGTAGCTGAGAGTTGTATGTTGAAGTGGTTTTTCCTCCTGACCCTAAGTTCCCAGGATAAAGACTTCTGAGACTCAAAATATATTTACAAATACCTAGGCCATGTAGCTAGGCTCTTCTCTGACTAGCTCATAACTTAAAATAACCCATTTATGCTGTTCTACATTCTGCCATGTGGCTGGTTACCTCTGCACAGGTACCATGGGTCTGTCCTCTTCACATCTTTCTGAGCCTGCTCTATCCCAGAATCCCTTCTGCCTGCTAGATGTCTCACCTTCTATTCTACCCTTTCCTATAGGTCATAGTTTGTTTGTTTGTTTGTTTGTTTTTGACAGGTGTTGCATCCATATAGACACAAGATATTCTCTCTATGGTTTTATATCCAGATATATAGGCAGCAGGAAGAGAGAGACACTGGGCCTAGGTTGGGCTTTTGAAACATCAAAGCCCATACTCAGTGACAAACTTCCTTCAACAAAAAAAGGCCGTACCTCCTAATCCTTCTCAAGTAATGCCATTCCCTGATGACCAAGCATTTAATAGCTTTTAATATAATAATAGCTATATTAGCCATTAGGGGCCATGTTTATTCAAACCACGAAACAGTTTATGGTGATGGTTTAATTTTTTTTTCCTAGACCTCATAGTGCATTCCACTATGAGACCTAGATGTGCATAAAGCAAGAGAAAACGATCCCTTTACTGGAATGTATGTGATGCAGAGTTCAGGATGGTGTTAATGGTCTTTCTTTGCACATGTTTCTGGTGCTAGACTCGTAACCTCATTTATAAAATAATACAAATGAATAAGAGTAGCTGTGGGTCTGATAGGGTTTTTATCCCATTGGGAATACAACCCAGCGTTCTTCTCTGTCTTCAGATGAGGGATACACGTGGGTGCTGACACCAGAGAGCCTGCGGTACGGGACTGGCACCTACTATGTAATGGCTGTGGAGAATAAAAGCTCAGAGACGACACAGCATATGCCTACCCTGGTCTCAGTGGTAACAGCTGTCACCCAGTGCTATTTCTGGGACCGACACAACAGAACATGGAGGAGCGATGGATGCCAAGTAAGAGGGGGCTGGGGGACTCTGACCCTTCACTGCACTCCTCCCCCGACTCTCCTTAGGGTAGACCGGAAACAGCAGCAATCTGAAGGGAAACGAATCAGCCTAGGACCAAAGGGGAGGGTGGACCTTGGTAGCAGGCAGGCATGTGTCTAGAACAGTAGGCCCATGCTGTTTTTCTAATTCCCATCTCAACACAGCTGCAGGCAGGTCTGACAGTGCTGGGCACTGAGTGACAGCTGATGGCTGTAGATGAAAGACAGAAAGTAGATGCGGAAGTTGTATGCCCACTGTCCTGCATCTAAAATGAAATAAACCTCCTGCTGGACAAAAACAAAAAACAAAACTAAACAAACAAAAAACAGTTCTCAGCACCCACATGCTGGCTTACAGCCACCACTTGTAACTTTAGCTCCAGGGGATCCAGCGCCTTCTTCTGGCTTCCTCAAGCACACGCATACATACACACTGCAAACACATATGCACACATATACATGCATGCACACATAAATAAAAAAAATAAAAGTAAGCCTTAAGAAAAAGGAGAGCCGGGCAGTGGTGGTACACACCTATAGCCCCAGCACTTGGGAGGCAGAGGCAGGTGGAGCTCTATGAGTTCGAGGCCAGCCTGTTCTACAGAGAAAGTTCCAGGAGAGCCAAGGCTGTTAAATGGAGAACCCTTGTCTCAAACAACAAAAAAACAAACAAACGAAAAAAACCAAAAAAGGTGGGTAGAGGATAAGAATGCATTCTAGATTCTCTCACACCCCAGGCAGGTGGGGACAGGGAGTCACCTTTAAAGTCAGCATGTTTTTCATGGTGTTTGTTCTTTTCAGAAGACATCGTACCTCTCACTACATAGCCCAGTTTGGCCTCCAATTCTTGATCTTCCTGCTTTAGCTTCCCTGAGTGTTGGGATTACACTCATTCACCACCACGCCCAGTTTGCTCATTCTTGATCCTGTGGGTGGTGGCCTGATTTAATGTCTGCTTCAATAACACCACCAGATGCAAGGCCCTGGGAATCCTGAAGCTGTTCTTCAAAGGCCTGAGACTGGATCTGGGCGTGCCAGTGTATGCGTTTAATCCCAGCACTTGGGAGACAGAACAAGATCAGTTCAAGGCAAGCCTGGGCTACCTAGTGAGACCCTGTCTTTAAAAAATAATAAAAAATAACCTGAGCTTGGCAAGAAAAAAATGGAACTCTCAAGAAAGCAACAGCCTCAAGCAGTAACCTCTGGGTAGTTACTCCTCAGGCTAATCTCCCAGAAAGGCGCTTGATAAAAGCAGGTTCTGAGGTGGTGGCTGTCGGGGAGCCAGGCAGCACTCACCCACGTTTTGGGGTGCACTGGGGAGCAGACTGGAGATTTTCTATGCTCTTAGGACACAGCACTGATGGCAGAACTGCTGGGTTCTGCCCCATTGAAGCTCTCTAGGATGCTGTGTCTCCCAGTACAGGGAGAGAGGTACTCCTCTCTTTTTCCCACCCTGGAGTAGAGACTGAGCAGCCTCAAAATTAGGTCACAGAGGCAACATCCTCAAGAAAGGAGATCAGTCCTGCGGCCTCACGCTTGGCAGGGAAGCACTCGGTCAGTGAGTACACCTTACAGGCTTTTCATGCACCAGCCCAGACACACATTGGCAGCAGAGCCCCTTTGTTCGTAGTTACTGGCGCGGTTTTAAAATATACATTACGGAGACATGTTACACCATACGGAAAATTGCAGGAAATAACTTAAAAGTTTTAAACCTACCACTCAGCTTTTTCAAAGTGATTATTTTATAATAATGTACTCCAAGCCAGGCAGCGGTGGTGCACGCCTTTTATCCCAGCCCTACCGGAGGCAAAGGCAGGCGGATCTCTGTGAGTTCGAGGCCCGCTGGTCTGAAGTGTGATTCCAGGAGAGCCAGGGCTACACACAGAGAAACCCTGTTTCAAAAAAACCTAACTAACTAACTAAATAAATAAATAAAATACTTTAATAATAACTAATTCAGCTTTCTTTGTTTGCTTTAGTTTGTTGTTTTATTTTGAGACAGGTTCTAATTATGTAGCCCAGGCTTGTCTGAATCTCATAAAGATCCGCCTGCTCTGGCTCCTGAATGCGGGCCTTATCGGTGTGTTCCGTCACACCTGTCCCTCATTCAGAGGTTTAAAAATAATAAAACTCAGGAATAATAGACCTCCGTTCCCCTCGCTGTTCTCATTCCCCTCTTCTGTGGAGGGTGGCCGAGGTCCTGGGTTTGCTGTGCACCCTCACTCTCTCGGCACGTGCTTGATGCACACCTTACACTTGGGGTGCCCGAGTTAGAAACTAGAGATGCAGTAATGGATGTCAGGGCGGCCACGACTGGCACCCTGAGTTCAGTCTCTAGAACCCGAGTGGTGGAAAGGGAGAACTCACACTTGTGATTTGTTTCTCGGCCTCCACATCTTGCTGTGGCACAGGCTCACCCCTGCACTACGTACACATGATAAAAGAGCAAATGCGAAAAACGGAAGTCTGCACCTCTCCTTCTCAAGGGACGCTTTCCATTTTCTGCTTGCCACTCCTCAGCACCCTCCCTTACAATTTGGGTCTTCAACCTGCTTTCAGGTGGGGCCGCAGAGCACCATACTGAAGACGCAGTGCCTCTGTAACCACCTGACCTTCTTCAGCAGCGACTTCTTCATGGTGCCCAGGACGGTGGATGTGGAAAACACCGTCAAACTGCTTCTGAACGTGACCAGCAATCCAGTTGGGGTGTCGTTGCTGGCCAGCCTCTTAGGATTCTATATCCTCTTAGTCACATGGGCTTGGAGGAAGGATCAGGCAGATATGCAGAAGGTGAGAAGGCTTGGGCTCCTAAGGCCGTAGTATCTTGAGTGTGTCAGTCTAGTTAGGTGGAAGTAGGGATTGATGGCCAGGGAACAGAGGGTTTACTACAACAGGGGGTTGTATTAAATGTCTATGCATACCTACCGTCTCAGAACGAAGTGGGTTTTTTTGTTTGTTTCTTTTTTGTTTGGTTTTGGCGCCAAAAGTCATGCAGCTAGAAATACATTAGAAAATACCTGTCATTGGAACTCAACTGAAACCAGGCTCATATTTATCCTGCCTTAGAAACTAGATGAAATTATGCTGAGTCAAATTATATTTTAACATAACTACAGCATACAAGAAAGTAGTACGGAATTCTCTTCTGAGGCTGGCAAGGTGGCTCAGTGGGTAAACACATTTGCCACCAAGCCTGAAAACCTCAGTTAGATCCCTAGTATGCACATGGTAGAAAGAAAGAATGGCAAGTTGCCCTCTGATCTCTACTTGTGTGTCTTAGCACACCCGTGTCCCCGCCCTGCACACATACAAACAAATGCTAAATTCTTTGAAGTTATGTTTTATGTCTTGAGACAACATCTCATGCTGTCCCCCAACCTGACCCAAGAAACATTATATAACCATCATATACGGCCTTGACTTCACAGTAATCCTCAAGGGCTAAAATTACAGATGTGAACCCTCATACTTGCTTCGGTTAAAAAAAAAAATAGACAAGATCTCACTGTGCAGTCCTGGCTGGCCTGAAACTCACTGCATAGCTCAGGCTAGCCTCAAGCCCACAGAGATCCACCTCCCTCTGCCTTCCAAATAGTACCACACTCAGCTTAGACTAGAAAAAAAAAATCTTTAAACAGTGAAATTCTTTAGCAGCTTTTTCTTCATTTCTGTTTTATATATATTTTTATGTCGTGTTGTATTTTTTTTTTTTCTTCAAGGCCTTACATGTCTAGGCAAGGGCTGTTCCAGGAGGGGGAGTGGATGTTTCTTATTGTCCTGGGTGAAGTATTTCCAGCTTTAGTAAACAAAAATACAAGATAGCAGCTTAATTTGCATCTCATGTAAACAGCAAATGAATCTTTAGCCCCAGTGCCCTCATCGTTTGTCTGAAACTCCAGTTTCGCTGCATGTCCTCCACGCTGCATGCTTTTCCTACCCAAGTGGGATGGAGGTGGAGGGCTTGATGCCCAAGACCCGATAAAGCTGATCCTGGTCACTTTGTTGGCTTGTGTGCTTGCCTGGTGACGACACCTCCCCCAAAGCTGCCACCAAGAAGCCTGTCCCCAGCCGGGCCTTAGTGAGACCTGGCAAGCTCATGGCTTCTGCTCTTCCTGCAGGTGAAGGTAACGGTCCTGGCTGACAATGACGCCAGCGCCACATTTCACTACCTTATCCAGGTCTACACGGGGTATCGGAGGAGGGCTGCTACAACGGCCAAGGTCAGCACAGCCTGCGCTCACACTTCTGCAAAGTGTGTCCCTGGCACACTTCAACTTGGCAACATCTCCGCATCCAATGACGATTTAAAGGGAATCAGGAGGATTGGTGTGGCTTAGTCCTAATGTGTAATGGAGGGACCCTCTGGGCTTGTTTGACATCCAATGGCTGCTTCCTTCTTCATAAGGAAAAACCCAAAGGAATGGTGTTGCAGTATCTCATTTTTTTTTTAATCTTTCCTCATCACGTTAGGTCGTTATCACCCTCTATGGCTCAGAGGGGTGCAGCGAGCCCCACCACCTTTGTGACCCACAGAAGACGGTCTTCGAGCGTGGAGCACTGGACGTTTTCCTTCTCTCCACTGGATCCTGGCTCGGGGACCTGCATGGCCTTCGGCTGTGGCATGACAATTCTGGCAACAGCCCTTCTTGATAAGTACCTGAGCCACGCTGGCTCACTTATTTTTTTTTCTTTTAATTTTTTACATTCATTTATTTATGTTGTATGTGTACTCACCCATGTATGGAAGTTAAAGGGCAATGTGAGAGCCAGGTCTCCCCTGATATTATATGGGTTCTGCAGTTAGACTCAGTGGCAAGTGCTGTTAGCCACTGGACCACTCCACTGGCCCTTGGTTCTAGGTTCCCTGCAGCCTTGAGAGAGTCCAGCAAGTTCTAAATAATCGTGCTTTCAGCCAGAGTGGCTGCTGGATTCATGTCCTCAGAGAATGAAACCCAAGAAGAAGGAAGGAAGCTAACAAAACAGCTGGGCAATTGTTTAACTGAGGACAAACCTTCTCCCTTGTTTTTATTGTGTCACCTGTGAACAGCAGGTCATGACCACAACAAAACGGAAGTTTGAAAGTGAAATTAATTGTTTTAAAGACAGGACATGCGGCCCAGGTTGCTGATTTTTTTCATTCATTTCTCTGACTTTCTTCTCCAGGTCCTGGTCTGAATTCATCTGCTAGTTTGCAGCCTCTTTCAGGTCATTGATCATTTTTACCAGAAATCCTTTGATGGTTTCATCTGGCCTTTTGGCCATTTCCATGCAGTTGCTGAGTTCTGGTCTATGGAAGGGTCATGTCACCTGCTTTTCATGTTTTCTGTACTCGTGCTGTGTTGTGAATAACATCCATTGGTTTGAAAATCTTTTCTACATTTTTGTTTGTATGTGTGTGAGGGTCTTCTTAAAGAGCAACATACCTTGAAGGCTCAATCCCCACTACCACCAGGAATGCGTATAGTACACATACATACACATAAAGTAAAAAATCGACCTGTTTTGGTTCAGACAGGGTCTCAGTATATGGCCCTTGCTGACTCAGAATTCTGTATGTAGACCAAGATGGGTTTGAACTCATAGAGATCTGCTTACCTCTGCCTCCCAAGCACTGGGATCAAAGGCGTACACCACTATAATCAGCCAAAAATATTTCCTAAGTGTACTTTTTAATAGGATTTGCAAGTTGGCACGAGCCCCTGATCCATGGGCTGTACAGTGGCTATTGGGTTAGCCAGCATGAAAACAGCGTCAGCTTCACTGTGCATCTCTGTCGGAGCTCTCAGGCACCAGGTGTGTTACCAATGACTATTGCCGAGTCAGAGGAAATCTTTCTCCGAGCACTGGTTCCCAGCAATGAGTTCAGAATGTTCACTACGCTGTGTCGGGAATGGATGTACAGGCCTCCATGCCTTGCTGAACCATCTACAGAGCACAGGAAGAGCAGATGCAATCTAATTCTCCCGGACTCTACGACTTTAAAGCAGCATTTGTCTCCACTTCCGGTCACCAGCGGCCCGGCCGGAGAGCGCTGACTTTTCCTCTCTGCTAGGAAAATCCAAGATAGCTTCTTCTTCCAATACAGCACTGCTTCATCTCCACTGGCCACCTGAGGAGTGTGGCCCTCTTCATCCGGGGTCTTAGCTGGTTTTCCGGCACTGCCACGTTCGGGAGCAGCTTCTTGCTGTAAACCGCATGAGCGGGTCTGCCAGCCTCAGCCCCTTCTGCGGCTGCTTGAGCTTGGGAAGCCTTTCAGAGAACTGAAGAGGATTACAGTGTTGGTTAACCCTGGTTTGGGAACATTGTAACTGGTCTGATGCTGCCCAGAACACTAAAACTTTCTCGGTTTCTGACATGAAGCCTGGTTCTGCTTTCCCATCTGGGTGTGCTTTAGGATAGTGATCTTAATTTCCTTCCAGACCTTTTCCTCTGTGTTCTCAAGTTGGTTTCCGTTTGGCCCAGGAGTCCCAGTGCCCTGCCTGTCTCAGCTTTGAATACCTTCCCCACTAAGCCTGATCATTCCTGGTTCTCCATTTAAAGAAAGAGGCTGTACGATGCTCACTTGAACACGTAGAAGCCATTGTGGAGTTACTAACTGGCCTAATTTCAATATCTGATTATGTGTCCCAAAGACTAGAGAGACCCAAAGAGATGGAGGGAACTGTGGGAGGGGCGACTGAGTGGAGCAGTCGGAAGGCACACAATGGTGACTAATTAAATTTGCCCACTGTCTTATACAGACGTAGTGTTAAGAGGGCGCTGTGCTGGGCGTCATGCCTCTGAAAATGCCAGGTGCTCTATGTTCCGCTCTGTGGCTCTTCTATGTTTTAGATACAGTTAAAGAGCTAGAGCACCGTGCCTGAGAGGCTGGGGAGGGGGCTCAGTGGCTAACGTGCTTGCCGTGCAAGTGTGATGACCTGAGTGTGAATCCCCAGAACCCACAGAAAGCCAGGTGTCGTAATACCTGCCTTCGCAGTTCCCTGAACTCCTGCCCATCAGATGCGGCTGTGCGCACAGGCTCCTGTCTCAAGAAAGGTAGAGGGAGTGAACTGACACCCGAGACTGCCTTCTGGTCTCCATATGCACACTGTAGCATGTACAAACATTATATACAACCCCCCCCCCCACATTTAATATATATAATTTCTGAATTTTTAAATAAGTATATATACATAGACATATATATGTGTATATAGTTGGGAAGAGGGTCAAATCTAAGATCTGAGTGTCCTATAGTTCTGATGTGGCTCCAGGCCCAGGCAGGTGCCGGCATCTTGGACACGCACTTCCTGAGGGCAGCAGGTGGGATGGGCTTGCTTGCCTCTCTCTCTTGCCTTGCAAAGCGTCAGTTACCTGGATGCCCAGTGCAAGTGCAAGCTGACTCCTTGTCGCACAGCAGGCATCCCAGGCCCACCTTCGTAACATGGTGATGTCTATCTGACTGTAGGTATGTAAGCCGGGTGATCGTCAGCGACATGACTGTGAGGAAGAAATGGCATTTCCAGTGTAACTGTTGGCTGGCCGTGGACTTGGGCAACTTCGAGCGCGATCGGGTTTTCACACCAGCCTCCAGGAGGGAGCTCTCTTCCTTCGGGTATGAGTGAGATATCCCTGGCAGCGCAGAAGTAGACCCCCTCCAGCAAGCATTCTGTTCCTGTCGCCATTTTAAGGATAAAGGGTTAAGGGAAGGGCATGCCTGGGTAGCCAGGCTGGCTGGGTCTGTAGCTGCCTGTGACTCCATGCTGACACTGGGGTCAGCAGATGGTGCAGGCTGTCAGCCACACAGTGCCTACACATGGCTGCCCAAGCATAGCAGCCTCAGGGTAGCTGGGTGTGTTACCTTGTGACCAGCTTTTCCTAGACTGGCATTTCAAGAGAACTAAGGAGTTCCCTGCTCTTTGGGACCCGTCTCAGCAGGTCAGATTCCCAGGGAAGAGACAGACAGACTGTACCGTTTGATGGGAGAGGTTAAAGGAATTTTGAAACTGTATTCAAATTCTTACATGGACATAAAGTTTATGGTTTGCCTGCCCGACTAGGGCTATGTGGCTTGACTCTGCCAGTGTCCTTACTCAATCACATTGGCTGTGTGCTAGCTGGTTACACAGGGTCCCTCTGGGTTACTTTGGCCCACACTGAAACCCGTAAACAATGGCCTAGCAAACTGGATAAGATCAACTTAACAGGCTTTGAATAGTTGCGCGCTGTAGCCTGGGAAAACCTCCCCACGGCTCCTCGCCACAGCAAAGTCAGGTGCTGTTAGAGCACAGGAAGGAAGTTTCACACACCTTTAATCCCAGCACTCAGGGAGGCAGGGGCAGGCAGATTGCTGTGAGTTCAAGGCCAGCCTGGTCTATAAAGCAAGTCCAGGACATCCAAGGCTACACAGAGAAACCCTGTCTCCAAAACTAACAGACAAAAGAGAAGAGAGGAAGAAGGAAATAAATGGCATGGGTTTAGGTGCCAATAAGATTTGTCACCGTACAGGGACAGTCTTGTACCTGATGTGCAGAAATCCCTTGGGTATTTCTAGAACCAGAATTCTGAGTTGAAGGGTATGCACATTGTGAAACAAAAGACAATAGGTTGCCACAGGCTTCGCAGTGAGTTTCTTGTCTCACTCACTGTAGCCTCAACTTTCATTTCTATCTTTTAATAGTAATTTCCGTCATCATAGTGTCCTAGTTAATAAGACTAAGATTTTACTTTCTTTTTGGTTCTCATAACATAATCTCCCTTAGTTCTTTGATTTAAACTATGTGATTAAAAGTCTTTGTCTAGAGGCCAAGTGTGGTGGTGAACACCTGTAATCCCCACCACTCAGAGGCTGAGGCAGGGGGATCGTGTGTTCGAGGCAAGGCTGGGCTACCAGTCTTTGTCTGGTGAATACAATGTCTTGGCCTCCTCCTAGACAATCTCTTTACTGTCTTTCCCCTATCTGTTATCAGCCATGCTCTCTCACTTACCTACATGTGTTAGAAACAGCCTTTTTGTTGCAGAGAGGTCAAGAAGTCAGCTCTCTCCATTCAGGCCAGTTTTGCTGTATTTATTGACGCCTGTGCACTGAGTGACTTTTCTGAACTGACTCTGTGAGGTGCGCATTCTTTGTCACATGCCGCAACTGAAGTGTTTGCACAGTTAGTTCAGTGCTCAGTGGAAGATTAAACAGAGATTTCCCAGAATTCCTAGAACCAGCCTGCCTCCCAGGCTTTGTGGTAGGGTTCTGTGGGCACAGTGGGCCATGCCTTCATCGGTCAGGTGGTCGGTCCCTAAGTATGCCTGAGCCTTCCCTTCCTGCTTGCCAAGGGAGTGAGAGAGTTAAGGTTACACAGAGAGAGAAGGGGGGGGGGGGAGAGAATACCACACCTGGCTTTTTTTTTTTGTTTGTTTTTTTAACATGGCTTCTGGGAACCAAACTCAGGTCCTTGTTCTTGCAAAGCAAGCACTTTAGCAACTGAAGCCCCGCTCAGCCTGGGTGGATTCCAGTTCAGTGTGTAGTAATCTTTTTTTAATTTCTTGACCATATTTTTTTCAGGGTCCATATATCAACGGCAGAGTATTTGCCTGTCATCCACGCGGGTGGAGTTTCCAAGCCTAACCTGTTCCAAACACACATACAACATCTCACGAAAGAAAACAAATTGGTTTTATTTCTGTGTTTTCTTATAATTTTTATTCTTTTGCGGGGGGAGGTGGTTCTTTGGTGTTTTGTTGCGTTGTTGTTTGGGTTGGGAGGGTCTCGCTATCTGTCCCTGGCTGGCCTGGAACTCACAGAGACTCCCCTGCCTCCATCTTTCAAGTGCTGCGTCGTGGTGAAGTCTACTCAGGTCTCCTTAGTTCTTCACTTGACATACTAATCACGGCTCCTCCACAGAAGGTAAACAAAATGTGGATTTCCCAGAGTGTTTTGAAGAGAAGTCTACTTTTGAAGAAAAGAAATCTACCAAAATTCTTAGGTCATCAAAATGATTTTTTTATTTTATTTTAAAGTCTCATGTGATGTAAAGAGCTCATACAGGGCTAGAGAGACGGCACAGCATTTAGAGAATTTGTTGCTGTTGCAGAGAAACCATATTCAATCTGTGGCACTCACATGATGACTCACAACCACCCATTCCAGGGGATCCAACACACTTTCATGGGCTCCATGGGCAACAGGCAAGCATGTGGTACACAGACATACATGCAATCAAAACACCCATACGTACAAAATCAAGTAAATAAATCTGGACAAATCATGCCTTAGTCTAGGTGGCTTCAAAGTGAAAGCTCTGGCTGGCAGGATGGCTCAGTGGGTAAAGGTGCTTGAACTCATATGACCTGAGTTCAACCCCTGGGTCCCTTATAGTTTAAGGAGAGGACTGACTCCTACAAGTTGTCCTCTGACCTCCACACAGTTGATGTGACATTTGTGCCCCCCCCCACAAATATACACATGCAATTTGTGCCTTTTCTCACCTAATTTCTCATTTCAGACACCTCTTCTCCTCCACGATCATAGAGAAGTTCACTCAGGATTATCTGTGGCTCTCAGTTGCAACGCGCCATCCCTGGAACCAGTTTACGAGGGTCCAGCGGCTCTCTTGCTGTCTGACGCTGCTTCTCTGTGACATGGTCATCAATGTTATGTTCTGGAAGATGGGCGGCACCACGGCCAAGAGGGATGAGCAGCAATGTACGCATGAGCCCTGATGTGTGCCGTCTGCCGTGGGGTTGCTTTGTCGGCCTTTCCCTCCTTACCTTAAGGGTTAGAACCCGGGTTGGGGTGTGCCTTCGGGTAGTGCTGTGCCTTTGGTTCCCGGTCCATCACCCTGACATTAGTTAGATGTTAGCACGATCCTGTGGGTGCGATCACTGATAAACAGTCTTGGGAACATACCAGGATCTTTACTGCCATGAAACACTTTCTACCCGCCAGATAAATTCCTCCCTAAGCAGCTCTAACCCTGGAGGGTGAAGAGTGATACCGTGCATTTCTTTCAGTGGGTCCACTTGCTGTGACCTTAGCAGAGCTGCTCATCAGCATCCAGACTTCCATCATCCTCTTCCCTATCCATCTTGTCTTTGGGTGGCTCTTCCGGTTGGTTCACCCGACAGAAACTCTGCCAGAGGTTCCTCCCACCCAGGCTGCCTGTCCCTCAGCTCTTGTCTGTGAGTCCCCCTCTGTCACACAGGTGGTCAAGGTAAGCTCAGTTATCTAATTTTTTATATATGGAAAGTATCCTCCCTCTCCTGTGTTGTGGGAAAGAGCCGTAGAAGATTTCTTGGCAGGCTCACAGCGTCCTGGGCCCTTTGATGTCTTTCCCCTAATTTCTGTCCACTGAGTTGTAATCAGTCAGAGTCTCAGCTTTCTTCCAAGGTTATGAACTGTTTTAGGGCCTGAGTGGGACAGTGCATACTACTTCAGAGCTATTTCCGTCTTTGATGTTTGAGCAAACCGCCCCTCTTTCATTCTATAGTCTCTCACAGAAATGATTCTGAAGGCAGTGTGGGGTGACTCTTCTCTGAAAACATTTGAAAAGGAAGCCTTGAGTTTCTTTACACTAGGCACGCGCCCCTGAGAAACAGGGCTTGCCATCTGTAGTGGCACCTGGTGCTGGCTGATGCCAGACAGATGGAAGAAGTCTCTCAACTCCGTTCCATATCCAGGAGTTAAAGGACACCGTGGGATTCCTGCTCAGGAGAAATATGCATCCGCTCTCAGAGTGTGAACAGTCTTCGTGGAGCTCTTGTGACATTAACAAGCTGGTGAAGCTTTTATCTAGCCTCATTTATTGTCACTTAGAAGATCAAGGCTGTCACGGGCAGATGGAATCCCGCTGGGAAGACGGTAAAGTCCAGTCTTTCGGCGATTTTAGGCGGTCTTCTCGCATCACCTCCACTCCCATGCACACCTCAAGTTCTTACACATTTTTGCCTCTCTGAACAAGGCAATTCATGCTTGTTTAGTTTCATTAAGCTTTCAACCTTGAGCTGATAGCTTTGGTCTCTTGAGATCGACACATCCAGGAGGTAGAGCTACAGTACTAATTGGAAAAAGGGAAAACTATTCCGATCCCCATATTCCCTGAAACCTGTCACATCATCTTTGTCTTCCCTTGAGTGGATGGGCAGCATGACTTACAGACTTTGAATGCAGCTTGGGCATTTGCTCTTCCAGGCTGCGTGTGCTGCAGCTTAGGTGGGAAAGCTCAGAAAGTGTCCATGTCAAAGTTTAGAACTGTGCAATGGTGAGCTGTGTCTGCACCCTTAGGTGGGAGCAGTACGGTGGAAGGCAGAACCTGTCTCCATCAGTACTGGGAAACATTAGCTTTGCTGTCACCTAATAAGTCGCTCATCTCCATCGCTGATCGCTACTTATTTTATTTATTTATCTTTATTTACTGTGACCATGTCGACTGGAAATAAATCCACAGCGGCTTCTGAAAATCACTACCATTTCTGTCGCTACCTACTCCAAGTTCTGCAGAGACTGAAGTTGCATTTAGATGCTCTCGGTGCTGCCCAGGACAACCATCTCTCTGGCTTCTCTGAAGCAGTCAGCCAACTTCAAACCCTCCAGGAACTCCTGCAAACTCAGGTTCTTCGCAGGGAGCAAGGGCCATGCAGGTAAGCTATGTGGGTTCCTGTCGATACCGGTGAACTTCCTGAGCCTCTCCTGGTGTCAGGCGGGAGATGGATTCTTCAACTTCTATTCTCCAGGCCCTCAACCAGTTTCCCCATCTTAAACTTGGAAGAAGGGAAGAAGCCCGTGTCTTTTTGCCTGTTCAGATGGTTGCGGTACAGCTACTGGCTCCTTCCAGGCATCGTCAGCCTGGCTTCGGCATTTTTCATAACACTTTACAGCTTGGAGCTGAACAAAGACCAAGCCACCAGCTGGGTTATTTCCATGATGCTATCAGTGCTTCAAGACATCTTCATCAGCCAGCCAATAAAGGTATGCGGGAATGGCGCAGACCATCACAGTGTCTTGACAACTAGAAAATAAGTCAACAGGCAGAGTGATATCTGTTGGACACACGTATGTGAAGTTAACAACAGAAAATAACTAGCTGTGGGAATGGTTAAAGATGAGGACAGGTTTTTTTTTTTTAATTTGTATTTGATGTGCATTGATGTTTTGCCTGCATGTATGTCTGTGTGAGGGTATCAGATCTTGGAATTACAGACAGTTATGAGCTGCCGTGTGGGTGCTGAGAACTGAACCTGGGAATTGAAGAGCAGTAAGTGCTCTTATCCTCTGAGTCATCTCTCCAGACCTAAAGTTAATTTTGTTTGTTTGTTTGTTTTGAGACAGGGTTTCTCTGTGTACCCTTGGCTGTCCCAGAACTCACTCTGTAGAACAAGCTGGACTCAAACTCACAGAGATCTGCCTGCCTCTGCCTCCCCAAGTGCTGGGGTTAAATGCATGTGCCACCACACCTGGCAAGTTTTACAATTTCTTAACATGCAAATACCCACACAAGGGGCTGGTCAGGTCCCTCAGCAGCTTAGGAAGCTGAGTTTGATCCTGGGACTCTACATGGTGGAAAGAACTGACTCAGAAGTTATCCTGAGCTCCACCTGGGTGTCCTGACTGTAAGATTATGGAAATGTGTAAATAAATAGAACAAGCTGTCAGTCCCCACCCTCGCTTGGATGTATGACATCATCCTCTGGGACCTCCAACACCTGCTCTTGGAGTGCCTGAGTGATTCTTGTCCCCAGGTGATCTTCCTCACGTTCCTGATCTCACTGATGGCGAACCAGATACCGTGGCTGAACAGAGACCAGGATCAGCATGCCAAGAGAATTGTAGCACTTTGGGGTAATTCAAATAATTCCAGCTACTGTTTAATTTTACAAAGAGCAGACCTGCCTTCCAAGACAAATGTACTGTGCAGTATAGTTCGCAGGAGAGTGCCTGCTGGAGGAGGCCCGAGTATGTGATTCCCAGCACTCAGATTCCGACTCCTCTGCGAAGGCATCTCCAGCTTTCTTTGGGGGAAGTTTTGATTATTTTCCAGCGATTGCATGGCACGTGTACATGTGTGCTGGTCACGTTTTTGTTTTGTTCTGTTTTTGGTTTTTTGTTGTTTTTTTGTTGTTGTTGTTGTTGTTGTTTCTTGGTTTTGTTTGTTTGACACACGGTTTCTTGTGTAGCCTTGGCTGTCCTGGACTTGCCTTATAGACCAGGCTGGCCTTGAACTCACAGAGATCAGCCTACCTCTGCCTCCCAGAGTGCTGGGATTACAGGTGTGCGAGTCTGCACTGGCTTGGTGATGTTTCTTTAATTTCCTCCCCTTTTTGTCTCTTTTCCAACCCTATCTCTCACCTTGCCTTTTGCTTATAAATCTCTCCGTTCTTCTACTCAGTCTTTAGACCAGACCATCGTCACCTCCTGGATTCCTCAGAAATGTTCAGTGTTGGGCCTTGTCCCAGAATGTGCATTGACTAGAAGCCCAGATGATTTCTACTCAGGTTAAACTTGAGACCAATGTTCCCAATGGGTCCTCCACTGATCAGAAGCCCTGGTCTCTAGTCTAAGATAGATGCACACAGCATGTTTATGCTTGTTGAATCTAATTTTTAAAATGAAAGGGCTAGGGACAAACTCAGTGGCAGAGCCCTTGTCTGATTGCCTGAGTCACCGCACTGGATTTCCAGCACTGAAAGAATCCTTATTGCTGGGCTGTGGTGGTGCATGTCTGTGATCTGAGCATCTGGGAGGCTGAGGCAGAGATCATGAATGTGTGAGCCAGCCTGGACTATGTTTTGGACAACAGATACAATGCTAACCGGGTTTTTGTGTCAACTTGGCACAAGCTTAGAGTCATCAGAGATGGGGAGCCTCAATGAGAAAATGTTTTCATGAGATCCAGCTGTAAGGCATTTCTCAATTAGAGATCAATGGGAGAGGGCCCAGCCCATTATGGTCATGGATTCTATAAGAAGGATTGGGCAAGCCATGTGGAGCAAGCCAGTAAGCAGCACCCCTCCATGGCCTCTGCATCAGCTCCTGCCTCCAGGTTCTATCCTGTTTGAGTTCCTGTTCTGACTTCCATCAGTGATGGACTATGATGCAGAAGTATAAGCTGAGTAAACCCTTTCCTCCCCAACTTGCTTTTTGGTCATGGTGTTTTGTTGTAACACAAGCCCTAACTAAGACAAATTAGTACCCCTATAGTGGGGTATTGCTGTGACAGACCTGACCATATGTTTTGGGGAAGACTGAGGAAGGACTTTGGAACTTTGGGCTAGAAAAACAGTTGAGTGTTGAGAGCTCAGCAAAATTTGGGTTACAGACCAGACAGTTGTGAGCTTCCATGTGGGTGCTGGTCATTGAACCAGAGTCCTCTAGAAGAACAGTGCTCTTAACGGCTGAGCCATCTCTCCAGCCCCCCCCCCCCCCATGGATTGGAATTTTAAGAAGAAAAATTCAGGCCTTTTTCCATAGAGAAGGAGGTGCTGCTTAGACATCCTTTCCTCTGCTCCTCCAATGCTGGACAGGAAATGCTCATGTTAGGAGCTCAACAAACGGTTAACCATCATTTGCTTAGCCTGTATTTCAATATCTGACAGCGAAGCGCTCTTCACCGGCTCCCGGTCTGAGAGACAAGAACAATCCCGTCTATATTGCCCCAGCAATGACCACCCCAGCCAAGCAGCCCAAGAGAGGCTGGAAGAAGCCGCTCGTCAGGATGACTGGCAGCACTCTGGGTATGAATGGTAGTGGCAGCATGCACCTCTGTAGCACACTGTCTGGGGGGGGGGAGGGCAGCGGGAAATAAGATGGCAAACAGGGAAGGGCGGAAAAGTGCCTTTTAAAATGAAATTTGGAATTCCAGCTCTTCGGCTCATGTGACCGATGGAAAGACCCCTGGGGTCTTCGGGGTTTCACTGAGGTGGAAGTCAGGGACTCCACCTGCAGAGTGGAAACAATATCCAATTTACATATTTGCCGGATTGGGGGAAGATGAAATTGCTTTGGAAATTGGTTCTTCTATGTGCTGAGTGACTAAATTAGCATATTTGCTATCCTACTGGATTCCCTGGACCAAATTCTGTTTTGTTTTGTTTTTTATCCCTTTTATGAATTTAATCAAGATGAGCCAGAATGCAAAAGAGCACTTAGCTCCAAGAATCAAAATACAATACTTTTTTAAATACAATATTTTAATGGGGGGGGGGTATGTATCTTGAGTTAAATTTCTGACTGTTGGCAGGATGATTCTGGAAAAGAAATATATATGTATACACAAATATATGCATATGTTCCTGTGTATAGAGATGAATGTATATATTACTCTGTGTGTGTGTGTTGCACATATTGGGTTGAACTATTTTAAAATGCCCATTTGACTATATATATATATATATATAGTTTTGATTGGTTGTTTGGTTGTCTTGGTTTAGCTTGGCTTGGTTTTCTGGAGGCAGAGTCTCACTGTGTGGTTTGGCTTTCCTGGAACTTACCACGTAGACCAGGTTGGCCTCGAACTCACAGAGATCCTCCTGCCTAAAGTACACACACACTGCCCAGCTCCATTTTGACTCTCTGACCTGCAAATGTCTAAGCATAAGAAAAAATGAAAAGTATTTAGAGTTCTAAGATAACTACTTGAATGGTTTTCTTCTGTTGTTGGAAACCAGTGCAAATCCTCTTCCTGACCCTGCTGATGACTTCTGTCTACTCTGCGAAGGACTACAATCGATTTTTCCTCCATCAAGCTCTCTGGAAGAGGTTCTCTCACCGACTCTCAGAAATCAAACTTGTGGAGGATTTCTACCCCTGGGCCAACCGCACCCTCCTTCCTAACCTGTATGGGGATTACAGAGGTAAGGACAGTTCTGGGGCAGAAGGGAGGTGAGTTAGCCCTTCTGAAACTCCTACTGCTACCCATGGAAAACTAGAGAAAGGTCATCTGGCTTCTTGCTATGGCAGCTTCTCTGTGGACATTGGAGTCCCTGGGGTCCATCCAAGAAGGTCAGTTAGTGACTGGTGGTGACCCGTGGCATCTGGTTCCTGCTGGTTCACAGGCCACAGGGATGAGCACTGATTATCTTAGAGCGTTAAAAAGGAACTGCAGGGGCCATACACTGAGCCATACACTGAGCCCAGGAATGTGGTCTGATGAAAATGGTCTTTTCCTGGCACGGGCTTTTGGCCACCTGCGCCACTTTCCCCAGCTCTCTGACTTGACTGTGTGTATCTAACTTTTCGGTGTTTGCCCAGTTTAGTCCCCCAAACATGCATTGAATATCTACAGTCTTCAGGGACCCTTCCTAGAAGCCGATTTTAAAAAATGCCTTGAATCCCAGCACTCAGGGAGGCAGAGGCAGGTGGATCTCTGTGAGCTGGAGTCCAGCCTGGTCTACAAAGCAAGTCCAGGGTAGCCAGGGCTACACAGAGAAACCCTGTCTAGAAAAACCAAAACAACAACAAAAGGTCATCATGGGATCAGTGTCCTCAAAGAACCTCACCGAAAGAGACATTGCCAGGCTTTGCCACGCAGCGTGTGCCTATGGCTAATGTTTTCTCCCCTCAAGGACACTTCTTGTTCAGTGTCGTTTTGGTTTTTGCCATTTAGCCAGCTTTGCCAGGGCAAAGACATCTGTGTTCTGCTGAGTAGGCTGAGTCCTGGGAATCATTACTCCCGTTCACCTCAGGGTTGGTGGCTTCCTGGTGTTTCTGAAGAGAATCTGAAGGATGTGTTCATCTTAGTGTCATCATCTTTCAGTTTCCTGAGAGTGCACTTGGTGCGTGAGCTGTTCTGACAGGAGGCGACTCCTACGCACTGTGTGGTGGGGTTTGGTTTTTTTGTTTTGTTTTGTTTTTAGTACAGTTTTGGATGATAACAGTTTTAGGTTCAGGGAACATTCCATTTGTAATAAATAAGTCAGCGATAAATATGCTATTGACAAAATGATTAGAACCTGAGATGGCAGAAGCTGAGGGCATGGCAGGGCTAGCCTCCTCTTGGACTCCTTGGCTGCCCATGGCACCACAGTGTAAAGGAGGCTGCGGGCCTGACCATGCAGGCTAATGCCCACTTAGCAGCGTGTGATCCTGGGTAGATTTCTCCGCCTTTGCTGCCCTGGTTTCCACTATTCATTGAGAAGAGTCTTTGGCCCTGCCCTGTATGAAGCTCTGAGTGCTCAGAACAGTGCCTGGCACACCTTACCTACCGACAGAGTAATTGCTGACTGTCAGGAGCCGGGAAATGGAGCTTTGCTTTCGAGCTACAGAGCTGAAAGCTTTGCTTTCGAGCTACCCATATGGACACTGACAGATACAGCAGACCTCAGGATGAAGACAAGCATCCACGGGTGGTGTTTAAAAACCTGGCATTCGGGAGGGAGAGGTGGGATCCTGAATTTGAGGCCATCCTAGGCTACAATCCAAGACTTTGTTTTAAAAAGAAATCCAGTCAAGCAAGGAGAGGTTGAAAAGCAGTTAAAACTGACACTGACATGATTAACCTACTGCAGTCTTGATGTTTTCAAAATTGCTACAGCCCAGTCTCATCAGTTCAATTCTTTCCCTGAAGCGACTAGCCTTTGGGAGAACAGTCAAAAACTAAGCCTGCATAGATGTTCAAGGAATAGATTCTTGGAGGGTCCTCAGAGTTGTGGCCATATAAAAAAGCCAGCTGAGCTGGGCACGGTGGCGCACACCTGTAATCCCAGCACTTGGGGAGGCAGAGGCAGGCGGACCTCTGTGAGTTCAAGGCCAGCCTGGTCTAGAGTCCAGGACAGCCAAGGCTACACAGAGAAACCCTGTCTAGATAGATAGATAGATAGATAGATAGATAGATAGATAGATAGATAGATAGATAGA